ATCTCTTCCTTCCACATCCCTCCCATGTCCCTTCCTCTTATTCCCTCACCTCTAGTGGATAACCAGCTTCATTGTTTTCTGGAGTATCTTTGATGTGTTTCTTCTCATAAAAATGAGCAGCAGTGGTGTGGTTGAGTGTGTGTTTGTGTTTTTTTTTTATTTCTTTCCTTCTCACACACAGAACTACACGTGCTCTCTGGCACCCTGCCCTTTCCACTTAGCATTATTGGCGGACATCTCTCCATGCCAGCTCACAGAGGGCCTCAGTCCTCCTTGCAGTGGTGAAGTGAGCGTGCATCACAGTTCACTCCACCACGCTCTCGTGCCGGACAGTCAGGGAGGTTCCAGTCTTCGCTGTTACACATGACGTGGCCGTGACACCCCGGCCCATGTGCATTTTCATGTTGTTAGAGGTGCAGCTTCCAGGTAGTTTTCTGTAGGTGGAATTGCTAGGTTGAAGAGTATAATAGCAAATTAAAGTTTCCTTTTGAAATGTACTTAAATGGGAAAAAAGATGAGACAATTCAAATACAAGGGTTAAACAATTAATTTGTACAGGCAATACACAGACTAGACAGAAATCATAAAGCAAACCAGTGACTGGATTTGGAGCAAAACAGGGCCGGGGTGTGACCGTAGGCCCTTCAGCCTCTAGTGCACAGGCCTGGACGTGGCGTGGGGACAGCTCACTGTGCAGTGACTGAGGTCTCAGTGGGGCCCCTGGGAATCCCTGAGAGCCCGAGTCCTGCCTCAGTGGCCATCAGTGAAATCCATCCCCGTGAGCCCACTGCTGCCTTTCCCTGGTGGTGGCAGTGTGGCGTGTGCACCCTGGGGGTGAGGGAGGCTGGGTTGCACTGAGGTGTCACTGTGTCACCACAGACAGTGGGAGAGAGGGCCCAGAGGGCATCCCGGAAACATTCGGGCCCTCTGTGGTATAGAGAGGACTGCGACCCCAAGTCATGAGGAAAGGTCACACCTCCCTGAGAGGTGGCTGTAGAATTCATTTTAGAGCCGTGAGTATCTGGGAGACCCTCTCCTCAAAATCCTCTTGAGAGTTGTCAAGCCTTAAATAATAACTAGGACTTTTAAGAGCTGTTGAGGTCGAATTGTTCAAATGGAGGGGAACCTGTTTTGGATTGGAAGAACTGCTCTGCATTCATCTGGAAGGTTAACCCAAGTGGGACAGCTCATTGCACAGCTCTGCTGGGCACTCACAGGGAGGGACAGCTGAGCCGTGAGCACAGGGTGACACGGAGAGCTTGGAGACACCCTCGGGAGTGGGCGGCCCTCCTGGAAGCGTCCTGGCTTCCCCGCTGCATTTCTAGCCACAGTGAGGACCACCACACTCGGCTTCGCTTTCCTCAGGACCAGTGTTCAGACAGTGTCCAGGTCAGACCAGGTGGCTCTCGGCAGTCTGTAAGCCCCAGCACTCAGGAAAGGGGCCTCTGTGGAACTTGTGATCAGAGATGCTTGACACTGCCCACCCTTCACCTGGAGTGTCTCCGCTCTCATCTGCTTACCCCGTACTGTGCTAGAAACAGCGCCATTGGCAGTTGGTACTCAGCTGCTTCCAGAAACACATGACGAGAATTCCGTGGAGGCTAAAGAGCCCAGAAAAGGGACAACCACAACTCGAAGGCTTAGCCTCCAAGCCAAGGTGCTAGGACCTGAAGCTTCAGGGAGTCCTTGGAGCTGAGTTCTCTTTGGGATCAGCCATGCAGGGGCGGGACTGTGCCTGGGGAAGGGGGACTTGCAGCCCTTGGGAGGCAGGCCTGTGGTCACACCAGAGGTGCGGGCCAGGAGAAGGCTGGCCAAGGCTCACATGGTCACCTTCCGAGGTCCGCGATGACACACCCCCTGTTAGCACAGGCAGACGAACGCACATGAATCCAGCACGCCCCTCTCCAGTGCATGGACGTTTACTCGTAACTCACCTGTGTTTGCACTGCTGAGCTAATGTTTACAGGAGAAACAATATAGATTTTCCAAAGATGAGAGTGGTTAAAAATTAAATGCTCCAGACCCTGGGGCAAGGTAGGCTAGGGGATTCTGACCTGCACAGGTGAGAGTGGGCCATCCCTAGGAAAGACCATTCTGTATTTTTCTGTCCCTGTCTCCTTAGAATGGAACCTTTTTGAGGGCAGGTCCTTGTCTTTGTATGTTCTGTCCCCAGCCCCGCTTCCTAGGGGCCGTCAATAAATGTGATAATGAGGATGAAAAAAAAAAAAAATCATCAGCACCTCACTGAGGTCTGTATCTCACTTTGGAGAAGACCGGGTAGCTGGAGGGAGGTGGGTGGAGGTGGAGGTGCACGGGCGGGGGCATTTCCCAACAGCCGTCTGCCCTCCGCTCTGTGCTGTGTCTGTGGCCTGCTATCTCGGAATCGACTCACTTATTTTTTCTTAAAGTTAGCTTCATCTTAAGCAGTAATATCCACATTCATCTTAAGCAGTAATATCCACAAGAGGATTTTTGTGCAGTTAGAATTTTCTAATGCATATTAAAATAAGTACAAAATTGGGTAAATAAGCAATACTCCCCACCACTTAGAAACCTTCTGTTGTTTCCCACCTGTGGGATGGGGCCTGCTCTGTGGGTACCCCAATCTGTGGCATCCGACTTAGATCAGATTGGGAAGGACAGGGCAATGACACTGAGCCTCCCACAGGCCCAGGGCCCCTGTGGACACATGAGGGGTGCGTTTCTCCCTGCTAGAAGGTGGTGGCAAGCCCAGTCATGTGTAACTGGGGACAGTGGTGGGGGATGAGATGTCTCCCCAAGAGCCACTCGGAGAACACATCGATGAAAGATTATGTGGAGCCATGGACCACCCGTGCCACACATCACAGCCACTAGGAGTCCTCGTGGACCCTGCCTACCACCAACTGACCACACTGGGCTAGACTGCTCGTCTGTTCGTCCATTTAGGAGGCACTGTGCACCTACTATGTGCCGGGCACTGGGCCAGACGCCGGAGATAAAGCGAAGAACACAGATGAGGCAGCTGCCCTCAGGAAGCCTGTGTTCTGGTGGGACGACAGAGAGCATAACATGCAGATAGTTACATACGCTGTGCGGCAGTCACGGGGGAGGGTCGCGCCTATGGAATTCCAGGTAGTTCACGTAGCTGCTCAGGGAGGGAAGACGCAGCTTCCTGTTGCCCAAGTGTGGCCCGAGCTCAGGGACTTCCTTCCACAGTGTGCAGTGCAGGAGGGGCAGCGGTCACCCGACGCTGGAGATGCCCAAGGAACCTTGGGTTGACCAGGTATCAGCCAGCAGCCTCCACAGTCACCAGCCGTGTCGATGGCGTGTGCCTTGACACCATGTGATGAGAAGAACACCCCCTCTGTGGTCTTCCTCCCCTAACCCATAGCCCGGTCACGGTATCAGACAAACCCCAGTCGGGAGCTCTTCATGGTCCCCAACCAGCACTCCTTAGACGCTCAAGGTCATCAAAGGCCAGGAAATTCTGAGAAACTGCCACAGCCCAGAGGAGCCAAGGCCTGGAACCCGGGAAGGGATCCTGGAGTAGGGGAAGGCACTAGGGAGAAAGCTAGCAAAATAGGAACCAGGTATGGAGCTTAGTTAACAATCATTTTAAAAGAAGCGAAGGAAAGACACTTGGGGAGAGCATCCAAGGTGTCTTCAAGGAGGTGGTGTAGGGGAGAGCTGAGCCTCAGGTAATGGGGCCGCCTGCTGGGTAGGGGAGACCCGGGTGAGTGCCTTCAAGCCAGAGGGAACAGCCTCCTGGCGAACCTGGGGCAGAAATAAGCTTGGGCATTCCAGAAATAGTGAGAAGCTTTGCACAGCTGGAGTGATGTGAGCCAGCGAGGCAGAGCCAGGGGTGAGGTCAGTGGTGGACAGGCGCCAGGCCTTGAGGCCATGGGAAGGCATTTGGATTTCATTCTGGGCATGATGGGAAGGCACTGGGAGTTTTGAAGAGAAGGGCGACATGAGTTAATTTCATTAAAAATCACTGGGTTTGTGTGGAGAGCAAATGACGTGGGGAAGAAAGAGCAGTGGCCAGTCAGGTCCCTGTGGGAGCCCAGGGTCCAGACCATGATGGAGCCGGGCAGAGCCCTCAAGCAGAAACGCAGGCTCCCGCTTCACGTCATCGTCCTTTCCCCATTATAGCGCTCGAAGGTGAGGGAAATGGCCTGCAAGTCCACACAGCACAGAGCTGCGATGGGGACGACTCAGAGCACAACAGCCATTCATCAAGACTTTGCGGGCCTGTAACTTTCTCTGAGATGCAAGAATGCCCGCTGTGCTTGGAACAGCTGCAGTGGCCCCCAGTGAGACGGCGCTCCGGGCTGGGACAGAGGGAGGCCCCAGATCCAGTTCCTGGTCCTCCCTGAGGACTGGGTGCCTGTGCTCCCGGTGACCTGGGGAGGCTGAGGCACGAGGATAGTGACGTCAGACCCCGTCTTTACACCAATGCAACGATGATATGTAACGCACGTCATGCCCAAGTCGGTTGCTACAAGTTGCCTTCATTTAATTGAGAAAAAAATAAAAGAAGGTTCCTAGCCTCCCTCTGCCTTCTGAAAAGTTGTAAGTGGGAAGGGGAAACAAGGCCCAGTCATGTCAGAGCCTTTTCTGGAGTGTAAACAAGCTTCAGAATATTTGCAGTGAATTTGCTTATGTTTCATTAACCATCTGTCAGATCTTCTAAGCTGCCTCAACTCCTCCGGGAAGGAAATGTGGTATCAATAAAGTAAAGCACGTATCTCTTTAAAACCTCAGAATGACATAAGGAATCTCAGTTTGTATATTGTTGTCAAAACCAGGGACACATTTTTTGGTGTTGCCGAGATGAATGGGAAGAGAGGTTCTCCCCAAGCGTGCAGTGATTCAGGGGGACTCAGATCACCGCTGTTAAGCACTTACTTGGCACGTTAGGAGCGATTACATGTCCTTGCGCTCGAGCATGAGTGTATCTGTAAATCTAGGCCTGCCAAGCTGCCCAGGCTCATCACGGTGTGCGTGTTTGCTTCCAGAGATCGAGATGGTGATCATGGAACGCAGCCAGCTCTCGGAGCTGGCCGCCAGCACCTCCGTGCAGGAGCAGAACACCACCGACGAGGAGAAGAGCGCCGCAGCCGCCACGTGCTCCGAGGGTGCGCAGTGGAGCAGGTAGCCTCCGGGCCGTCCGTGCGGAGGGGCGGGCATGGCACAGGCGGGGGACACGGGATGGCCTTAGCGACGAGACAGAGAACTGGGGCCGGGTCCTCTAACCCCTGTCTCAGCCAGGCTGTGCTGTTCCCTTTCCTTTCCCTGTTTCTTCAGCCCATGGCCACCCAGAGGCAGGGCTTCTCTCAAGAGGCATGGGGACAGAGCTGTGACTAGACACTGGAGCGTTCACCCCTCGGAATGAGAGCACTCCCAGATAGGTGCTACCACTCCCAAGGACTTTGGAGCTCTCCCTGCCTCCTTCATTCACAGTCAAGCATGCCACCCACCACCTGTAGGGCTGCCCTGTGGTCTCAGCTGCCACAGCGTCACACCGCTGTCCTCCCATGTCCTTGGCCCGCTGTTCCCATCAGTGATGCCTGCTGAAGCTGCACCTTCTTAAGCATTGGAAGGCCACATTTTCTAGAACCTCGCTGGCATGCCACCCCTTCCACCGTGGGGTTGGGTGGGGCTGCTCCCAGAGTGTGCAGGGAACCATTGGGAAGGCATCTTCATTTCAGAGTCACCTCCTAATCTCGGGGCCCCTGCTACCCAGGCTCCTGTGAGGGCACGGCATTCACGCTACCTTGGCGATACGAGTGTGCAGCAGTGTGGCTTCTCTCAGTCCAGGGGACGCTCACCTCCTGAGTCCTTGGGGGACGCAGTGGGAATAACAAACAGCCCTTCCTATTCAGTAATCCAATCTAAACGGAGGAGTGGAAACCTACTAATGTTTTCCTCCACATCTTGCATATCTCTGTTCGGGAAAGGTTTCAATAATCTCACAGATGGGATTAATTTTTATCAGATGTGCAGGAGGCCCATTATCAGTTTGTGTTAAATAAAAACCACTGAAGTCCAGTGTGGGTTGCAACTATCAGTGGTTGCAACTTTTGATTTTGCTTAGTAGCAAAAAATGTAACTCCCGAAGTTCCAAACATGAAGACGTCATTGTAAATGCAGAGGTGGGTTCACCTTTTTTGCGTGCCTGGCACAGCATCCGTGACTGTCTGAATAACTGGAAAGCCCACAAGTGACTAGCAGAGCAAGATGGATTAGCAAGCAGGGGTGGTCTGCTTAGCAGGCTGTTAGCTACTGCTTTTCAGAGAGTCCTGTCATGACATGGGATTCTTAGGATCTGATAAATGGAAACAGTGCATATTTTGCATAGGATAGTGTTATCATAGCTTTGCTAAAGGAAGAAAAACACCCGGTCATTGCTTCCCTGTCCCAAAAGGAAAGAAACAGACCAAAATGTTATGATGTTTAACTCTTGAAGTTGGTCACTTCCTCTTTTTTTTTTTTTTCTTTTGATTGTCATCTTATAATGGAAGCCAACTCCGGTACGTTGAGGTAGGCCACATGCAGGCCCAGCAACCTTCGGGCTAGGTTTGTACTTTTCTCTGAGACCAAATGCCAGTGGAAAGCCTGGCCCAGGGCCAGAGCTACTGTCTTTGTCAGCAAGGAAGCGAGTTGCTGCTTGTGGGAGACCACCATGGCCCTTGGTCCCCCTGCTTTCTAGCACAGAGACATGGAGGGTGCCATGACATGAATTAGACCTTGACGTTGGTCCATTTGCCTCACTAGAGTTGGGGTTAGAAATAGCCTACTTAAAAAAAGGAAACTATTTTAGATTTCCCATATAGTATAGGCTATAGCTGCATTCAGGGTAAAATATAGGCCTAAAAAACTAAACATTGAAAATATTATTTCTTAAGGGAAAAAAAAACCCACTAAAATATGATGTAAACACATTTAGAAAATGTGAAAAATCTTGAAAAGAAAGAAAAAGAAGGAGAAAAAGAAAGCAAAAGAAGTCTCCGTGATCCCAGCCTTCAGACAACTGTTACTGTCATTTCATTTCTTTCTTAACAGTTTTTTCAATGCCAACTTTCTGGGAATTCTTCTTCTGCCTCGCCCTGCTCCCAGTAGGTTGGATCATACAGTGTCTATAATTTCCAGCTAATCTCAAACCCCAAACATCCTTGTTATTATATTCTTTGTCAACAGATTGCTTCATGGCTTGATAATACCTCATTTCATAAAAGACAGTACATCCACCCAGCCTTCCCTCTGCTAATACATGTAGTTATTCATATTATTCCCAAATGAAAACACTGACCAAATTCTAAGCAGCTGGTGTATTAGGAAGTGTTTTATATTTTACCCCACTTTTAAGTCTAGAAGCCTTCCTCCTGGAGGCTTTTGAAAACCAAACCTACATGTGGTAAGACTATTAATATATCTGAAAGGCGATGCCCCATCTGGGGCTCCAGAGAAACGGGGACTAAATGTAAATGTGCCCTTTAAGCTCTTCTTTAAATTTCTGTGTATCATAGGTTTATTTGAAATGTTAGAACAAGTAAGTTTCTCATTATTTTTCTTTTGTATTTTTCAATTTAATGTTTTATGTTGGTGGTACATTTTAGCCTTTTTTTTTTTCTAATTTTTATTTTTGCCATAGTGCGTATGCGCTCACCAGAAAGAGACAGACAGAAACAGAGGGAGGGAAAGTGAGAAATCACCCTCAAGGGGAATGGAAATCACCCTCTCCTCTATTCTCCTCTCAGAATTTTGAGCACACATGTGCACATGCCTAGCATGATTTTCAAGCTGCTGGATTGGGTGGGAGGGGGGCCTGGGACTTGAACTGTACCATGTGGGAGCCCAGTGTCTTTACCACCACTCTATCTGCTGGCCCAGAATTTTAAAATCAGTTGCACAGTCAGTGTTTCTCCACCCCACCTGGTTTCCTTCTCCATAGGCAGCCAGCATTGCTAGTAGCTCTCGTGTCCTCCTGGGGGCCGTGTGCCCTTGCTCGCTCATCGGGGTGCTCTGTTCTCCTGGCCTCGAGCTGGCATCTAGAGGGGGCACCTGTAGCTAGCCCCAGGATCAGAGCCTCCTGTCTGCATATTTTCTTATCCTTGTGTTGAAAAGTCTCTCTGAGCCAGACCCTTCACCTGGAAGGGTAGCGTTCAAGCTGTGCATTTCCATTGTTGGCAGCTGCTCTAGCTCTTATCAGAGGTGAGAGACTTGTGATCAAGCCTAGAGTCAGGGGAAGTTGGTCCAAGAAATTTCTGGGCCAGGACCCAGCCAAGTAAAATCACAAAGAAGTGCCTCAGAATGGCAAAAAGAGAAATCAAGCAGCAGCTCCCAACTGCTGGCTCCTGCCACGGCCTGGCCCCATGCTGAGTGCCGCTGGTCGTCACTGCACTGAGTCCCCACAGGAACCCCATGGGGTTCCAGTCGCCATCGTGCAGCTCAGAGGCAGCGTTAGAGTCTGAGCCCAGGCTGTCTAGCTCTAGCCTATGTCCATGAACTTATTCGGATTGCTGTTTGTGCCGTGTCTGTTATTGTCAGTCTGTCTCGCCACTCCATCTTTTTCATCGTCTTGTGACACGTCACGGTGTAGCAAGGAGGTGGGCCTGTTTGTTCTTTGACTCAGCCGACTAGCTTAGCGGCCCTGAAGAGTGGCGACCTTGTGTCACTGATGCTGTGTCTGGGACACCTGACAAGTGACTCCAAGTGACTAAGCAGTCTGTTGTTGGCCAGTTTTGTCGGAGGGCCATGTCTGGTTTGTCTGAGTCCCAGCGCCTGATGCTGGACTAGACACATGCACCCACTACACGCTGGTGGCCTGAATGAGCGCCAAGCCCAGACAGCCAAGGGCACCGAGAGCCCCGTGCGATGGAAGACACCACAAGGCTCATGCCTGCCACTCCTCTCTTCTAGACCCTTCCTGGATATGGTGTACCATGCCCTGGACAGCCCGGACGACGATTACCATGCCCTCTTTGTGCTCTGCCTCCTCTATGCCATGTCTCACAACAAAGGTAAGCAGGCCGCAGCCTGGCCTGGGTACCCGGCCTCCCTCCCCTCTCCTGCAGGGAGGGAGAAGGAAGCACTTTCCAGGAGGGATTTCCTTTCTGGCTTTGGCACACTCCCGCAAAACTCCTTCAGCTTGTCAGAATTTCTCAGGTATTTTTCTGCAGACTAAAGCCACAGGAATGGGTTACTCAGGCAGCATGGGGGCAGGTTAAAGTGCTGACTGTCTCATCCAGCATGACTGTATTCACACTGTGGTTTTCTTTTGCCCCCTGGCTTTACAATCGACTTAGTGTCCGACCTCTTTCCTAACATCAGAACTGAAATCAGTCAAACTGTGATCTTGGTTTTGCTATTTATAATACTTGATGTTCTTGCTATGGGTTCAGAACTAAAATAGACACTAGGTGGATTTTGTGGAAGCGTAGGTTTCCTTTCTGAAGAAAGGTGTGGTTCTCTGGCTTCCCCTGTTGAGGCCAGTGGCCAGCACCCACCTCCCAGGATTCGTCACTCACTCGTCATCACTGGGGACAGCCACTGGTGTTTGCCCTCCCTGGTTTGACATGGGCATGTCCAAAAACCTCCACCGCAGAATCTCTTCAAAGAAGTCTTCAGGAAGAGACCATCCAGCCCCTGGCAGGGGCTGGGTTTGGCGTGGATGGGCCACCGCAGCACATGGTGTTTTAGCAGGTTTTTCATAAGCTTACCGGGGAGATGGAGGTGGTTGTTACCTGGGCAGCCTATGGCTAGAGAGATGAAAATTCACTCAGCGTAACTCAGTGTGTGTGTGCTCTGAAATCGTCGGTTATGGTGAAGAAGTTATCTGGTGGCAAAAGAACGTAGAACAAAGAGGCTCCCTCCCACTGCTGGCCCCAGCTCTCCTGCCACCAGTTCTGTGTCATTAAACAACTGTGCAAACCCAAGGACGCACATGTGGCTTTGTGTCTGTGGCTGCCCCTTTGCCGTAAGTGGGGATGTCCCTGTCTGTGCCCGTCACATGTCAGTGCATCTTTTCACGGTCACATAGACCACCTTGCTCTGCTTCTGATCGTGCCCTCCCCACCCTGTTCTTCTCGTGCCCGGTTGACAGTTATCGAGAGTTTTCCATTATTGGCTGATAGTTTCTTTCTTCCGAGAAGTATATTGGGTTGTTGAAAGAGTCATGACACATTTTTGCTTAGAAAAACAGAAACATACGTCGTGACTTTTCCGACCCGATATTTGGGCTTATGGTTATGTTACTTGGAATTAGTTTGATCCTTTTTGAGACCTGCCCTTAAACTTTGTTAGGACTGGGCCAGATGGCCATAAGCCTTGGGGTGACCCCACCATGGAGGCAGCACCTTTCTGATGCTCTGTGCCATGTCCCGTGGCCAGGTGGTCTCTGTGCCAGCCCGGCACAAGCTCCCAGGATGGTCACACCTGCTTCCTTCTGCTAGGTCTCTCCCTTTCCTCACAGGCACACACCAGAACCTAGCTGACACCCAGAAGGAGCCCTCTGTGCATCTCTGGAGCTCTGTCTGTCCCTCCTGCGGACTTCAGCTCCTTGGCCTCCCTAAACTTTGAACTCTGCCTTCTCATCTCAGGGGGACCAGAGACTTTGTCTGGATTTTCACTGTCTATGCTGCGGCCTGGGCACACTCTCCAGACAGTAAGCTGGAGCAAGCACCAGGTTACCTTTGTCCCCTCTCTCTCAGGGAACACTTTCCTATGCAGCCTGTCTGTCGTCCTGTCCTGCATCTGATAACTGCTGTTTTATATAGTCGATCTCATTTCCAAAGGTACTTAAATCACTTGGGTAAATCTAATCCATGTTGGCTAGAAGCCATGGCACCTTTATTTTTAAACAAAAAACATTTATTGAGATATAACTGATATGTAGTAGACTGCACATATTTAAAATATACAGTCTGATAAGATTTGACAGATATCTCCACCCGTGAAAACACCCTCACAATCAGGGCAGCAGACGTGTGTTAACCTGAAAGATGTCCTCACGCCCCTTCCTCTCCCCTCACCCCCTCTCTCCAAACACGATCCGCTCCTTGTTCCTATAGACTACTTCACACTTTCCGGAAGGCCATACGAACAGAATCGTGCAGTACATACTCTCCTTCGTGTGGCTCCTTTCGAGGTCTGTAGTTATTTTGACATTTATTCGTGATGTACACGTCAGTAGTTCAGTCCTCCTTGCTAGGTTGTATTCCGTTGTGTGAACATACCACCATTTGTTTACCCCATTTGATAACATGCTTTGGGGGAGTTTTAGAGCATTGCAGGTAGAGCTGCTGCGAGCATTCGTGTACGAGTCTCTGCACGGACATGTTACTCTAGGGTAAATACCCAGGATCGCAATGGTTGAACCCTTTGGGAGGTGTATGTTTACTGTTTTTTTGTTTCGTTTTGTTTTTTAAGAAACTGCCAAACTTTCCAAAGTACCTGTGTAGTTTTACATCCTTCAGTCAGGTTACAGGAGTTCCAGCTTCTTCTTTTCCTTATCAGTGCTTGATATAGTCACCTTTTTCATTGTAGCCACTCTAACAGGTATGTGGCAGTGTCTTACTATGATTTTAACATACGTTCAGTGATGACATTGAACATCTTTTCTGCTTCATTTGCCATACATGTATTTCTTTTCTTTTTTAGTTTGCTATAGGGCATGTGTGCTTGCACAAGAGTGAGACAGAAAGAGAAAAAGTTGTCACTTCCTGGGGGATGGCCATGCCATAATCCCAGTCCCTCCATTCTCCTCTCCAGATTTTGGGCATGCATGCACATGTGCTCTGTGTGTGTGTGTGTGGGTGTGTGTGTGTGTTTTCCTTTCCTTTTTTTTAAGAGAGGCTTTTGCTATATGGTTGTGCACACACCAGAAAGACAGAGAGAGACAGAAAGTGAGAAATCACCCCGTAAGGGGAAAGGGCCATGCTGTAATCCTTTCTCCTCTATTCTCCTCTTGATATCTTGGACATGGATGCACACATGCCTGGTGTGAGCTTAAACCTCCGGGTCTGGGGCTCAAACTGTAGTCAACTACATAGAAGTCCAGCAATGTAACCATTGCGCCATCTGCTGGTCCCCCCTACATGTTCTTTAAGTTGCCGGATCTGAGACTCAAACCGTACAGTTGGCCATGTGGGAACCAGCCACCATGCCACTGGCTGGCCAGTACATACCTTCTTTGCAAATCCTTTCCCTATTTCTTTTTATTGGTTTTTCTGTTTTCTTATTGTTGAGTTTTGAGAGTTCTATATATTTTTTGGGTATAATCCTTTATCAGATGTGTTTTACAAGGATTTCCTCCCAATCGGTGACATGTCTTTACATTTTTGAAGAGCAGATATTTTGAAATTCCATGAAGTTCCCATGACATTTTTTTCCTACCACTTTTTCTCTGCGTGCTTTCTCTCCTATTCTGAACTGCCAGGCTGGAAAGCAGAAACCATAGTTCCTCTGATGCCCCCTGCATTGCCCAGTCCAGTCCAGCCCAGCCCAGCCCCGCCCCGCCCCTAGTGGTCAGTGGCGCTCAGTCAGTTTGCTGATTGGTTGCCTCTCAGCTGTGGGGCGGGTCCCCAAGCCCACTAACTGGCAGCCTGTGCTCAGAACCTCATCAGGGAAGGTGCTGTCTGTGAGGCAGCGATGCCAGGTGAAGCAGTGGGCAAGCTCTTCATCCTCTGCCTGGCTGGCTGTCTCTGTGGGCTTCCTCCCTGGACCCCTGAGCTGAGCAAGGAGGGGAGGAGTCCGACTTGCACACACGTGTGACCTGGAGACATGACCCTCCTCAGTGCCCAACTAGGGAGGCCTCCACCCCTTCTTGGGGTTTCGTCTTGAAACAGTAGAACTATATATTCAAGGAAATGTATTGGGTCATTGGAAAAGTCATGATGCATTTTTTGCATGGAAAAACAGAAAAATGTGGCATTGACTTTTCCAATGACCCAATAATTTCTCCTCCATTTCCTGCTAATGCCACTCACTTATTGGCTCTATTCACTCTATTGGTATTTTCAAAGCCGCTGTCGGATGGCAGCACTGTGACTGATGCTCACCCTCACGAAACCCACATTGCACTGGAGGAGCAGGGCAGTAAGATAGTCACACTGACCAAGATAGTTCCACATTGCCAGAAGGGCAACCGAAACAAGAAAACTGGGTGATGGGAAGGGGCAGGCTGAGGGCAGAGAGCACTGCATTCTCCTGGGGATCAGGAGAGGCCAGTTGGAGGCTCAAGTGACAAGAAAGAACCAGCCTTGTGATGACTGGAGGAAAGAGTGTTCCAAATAGGGGCAGTGAGGCTCTGAAGCCCTCGATCTTGGGTGACCCTGGGCAGCAAGGCAAGTGTGGACAGAAGGGAAGAGGGACCCAGAGAGCGGTGGGAGGGAAGGCAGCACCCGGGCAGGAACTCACAGGCAAGGACTCTAGACCAGAAGAAGCAGAGGGTAGACTCTAATGCAGTGGGGAGCTCCGGAGAGTTTTCTGGAGTTTGTGTCCTTTGGAAAGTGACTCTGTTTCATCCGAAGACTTTGGTTCTGAAAGGCTGGGATCAGGTGGTTGAGGAAGAACTCAGGTAGGTGTTCAGCAGTGCGCATGAGCACGAGCTGCACATCAGCGTGCTTAGCCTGGGGCTGCTGACTCCAGGCAGGCCGAGGCTGAGGCCCTGGCCAGGAGAGCAGCAGTCTGGGAGGAGAGCCCTACGTGGGGACTGCACAGCACAGCCGAGAGCCCTGTGTCTGGCAGCGGGCTGACACTGCCCGTGGGAGTCAGGGAAGGCAGCTGGGCCGGGGCCCAGGGCACCCTGCAGGAGGCCACCAGAGGGTTGGCTGGACAGCTGGAAGAGGGCAGAGCAAGAGGAGGCATAAGAGCCTCTGAAGCGTCAGTCCTCATTGGTGTCGGTGAGCAGACAGTGCCTGGGGGCAGGGGGTTCTCTGAGAGGCAGGTGAGCTAGAGCCAGTCTAGGAGTGGTGTAGGCAGCGACTCTGAACTGCATTCCGCAAGCCATGTGAGGGCTGCC